AACACAGACATCTCTTGTTGTGGCTTCAAGTAGCGGGTATGCTTATTTTAGTTGTTTTCTTAAGAAATTTGTATACTTTCTATTTGTTTCCTGATCTCAGGTTGTTTCTACGGTATTTCACTTCAGACCATTTATGTCTCTGCTCTTCTCATATATACATGCTACTGCTTTCACCACGGTTATTTTTATTTGTAGCTGATGTTTCCTTGTTACCTGTTTCTTTGTTTGTAATAGGACAAGCACAACTGTTGCAGCTCCAGTGGCTGCTTCTCCTAAGCTGCCATCTGAAATAACTGGCAAAACTGTTGAGGAGGTAGATATTTGCGCTCTTGTGCATTTATCTTTTTTTGCCATGTATTATAAATTATTCAAATGTTTTTCTTTGGCGTTTGAAGATTATCAAGGAGTGGAATACAGAGCTACAAGAGCGTTCAGGGAGATTCCGGAAGCAGGCAAATGCGATAGCAGACTGGGATAAGCGGATCTTGCAGAACCGTGATGTTCTTTTGAGGCTTGAGGTAAAATTAGTTAGTCCTATTATGGAGTCTCTGTTATAATTTCTTTCGGTTTTGAATCTTCTAAAACATTGTTCTGAGCATACCTCTGAATTTGTAAGTTGAGCTCATATAGGCCTCTACTGTATAATTAGCTCATCTTTTATGTGTCTTTGATCAATAAACAGATTGAAGTTGCAAAAGTGGTTGAAACCCAATCTAGTTTGGAACGGCAGCTGGAATTAATCGAGACTCATCAGCAAGAGGTATGCGGTAGAACTATTATCTCTTTATGTTAATCTGTAAATGAGGTTTCTGATTGTAACTTGCACCAGGAAGTCATTTGTGTTTAATCAATTCACAACATCAAATTTCTCCTGTTCACCATTTCTCGCAGTAGCAATTCTTGTTTGATTTTTAATTTTTCTCTCACATGAAGATCGTCTACCTTGTACTTTAGTTTATTATAATCTGCATGTATGTTACATTCGATAACAGATGAGCCAATACTGAAGTCACTCTGTTAATCATCTGAATTCTTTACTTGTGTATAAGGTTGACAAGGCTTTGCAAAGCATGGAGGAAGAGGCTGAGCGTATATATAACGACGAGCGGAAATCACTTCTTGACGATGAAGCAGCGTCAACTAGAGATGCAATGTAAGAACTCTCAAGTCTTTCCACCACCATCACCCATTGCAAATATGTTTAATTCCTAGCCTGATATATGCTTTATTACAATGTTTTCATATCAGGTATGAACAGTCTGAGCTTGTAGAACGAGAATTGGAGCATATGACTGAACAAATCAAATCGATTATACAATCCGTAAATGCAAACCAGGTACACGCAGTGACTTATCATAACACTATTCCTTTTCCTTCGAACAGATGCCATAAACTTCTGTTTTTTTTTGTGTGTGAAAAAGGGCGGAGAACTTGAAGCAATCGATGGAATGAGTCCACTAGATGTAGTCGTCAGGATCTTGAACAATCAACTCAGTTCCTTAATGTGGATTGATGAGAAAGTAAGTTTAGTAAAATCCTTTAAAATTAATCTGTCTTCTTCGCTTTGTTTCGCTAACTACGGTTGTGAACAGGCAGAGGAATTCTCGTCTCGGATTCAGAAAATCGCAACTCAAGGTTCTGGAGCAGACCGTGAATTGATGGCTCCAAAGCACTGGATGTCTTGATAGTTCCTGAAGTATATTTTCATGAACATCTTCTTTAGTTTTTGTGTTTAAGACATGTCTGATTTCTTTACCTTATAAAAATTTGTTACATTTGGATCGACTGATTTTGTTGTTATCCACTTTCATGAAGATTTGGAACTTTAATTACTTTTTCAATATTACACCGCCTTGACTGCTTTAAACGACGACGTATCGTCCATTATTACGATTTTTTTTTTCCTTAATTTTTTTTATTTCTTACCTTTGATCAAAGACTTTCCTTCACATGGATGGATATAGATGAGTCACGACGACGACTCACGCGTTTCGAAAACAAAACGTTGTTAGAGAGAAATTTCTTGTTCCTCGCGTGAGGACGATCCTCTCTGCAAATCTTGAGAGACTTATTTACAACTTTTTTCTTCGCTTACACTCTTGATCGGTATCCATGGCGGAGGGAGGAGCTTCGCGTTACGTGAAATTGAGGAAAGAGCAGTCTCCTGTTGAAGATATCACACCCGGAGAACTCAATCAGCCCATTGATGTTCCTCAGGTAGATTCTCTCTCTGCATTTACCTAACGCTTGTCTCTAGAGGTCTCCGATCTCGCACCTTTGATTATTTCTTCAGATCTGTATCCTAATCGTGATGGTTGTCGATTTTTTTTTTATGGTTTTGATGATGATTTGAGTTCTGTTGATTCCGATTGTTGTTTGTGTCGATCTAGATGAGAATAATGAGATTGAATCGTGGTTGTGTTTGATTGACGATGAGTGTAGCTAGTCTCTGATGGTTTTGATTTCTCTCATCAATGTTGGATTTCTCCTGCCGTTCAAGCAGGAGGTTTCGTGATTTGTCGTGCATTATAGATCTTTTTGATGTGACACCAAATGTTATGAATCACTTGTGACATGAACATATAGCGATTTGTTTTGGCACTGCTTGTTTTTGGTTTTCAACACTGGTTATTAGTCTCATAAAGCAAAGCAACTAGTAAAACTAGTGACCTTCCTTTGAAGCCAGATTACATATGAGCATGGGAATCATTGTAGTGTGGCATTTTTATACTACTGAGCTGATTATATAAGTCATGTGTTACAATCACTCTATTCCCTTTTCTGTTTGAAATTGTTTACAGTTGAATGTTCGCAAGTGCCATGAATGTATGCAAGTTCTACCTGAAACCTATGAACCTCCTTCTGATGAAAGCTGGACTACTGGCATTTTTGCTTGTGCTGAAGATCCAGAGAGCTGTAAGATTTTCTTCCTTGTTTTGTATCTCTCCAAGGATATCATCCTTAATCCCTTGTTCATGTGCATGAATATTATGTATTAAGTTTTGGTAAATTATCATCTAGAGTTTGATAAGAGGACACTTTGAATGCTCTGTTATGATTTTGCAGGCAGGACTGGTCTCTTTTGCCCCTGCGTACTGTATGGTCGTAACATTGAAGCTGTGAGGGAAGAGATTCCTTGGACTCAACCATGTGTATGCCATGCAATATGTGTTGAAGGAGGTATGGCGCTTGCAGCAGCAACCGCACTCTTCAGTGGCTACATTGATCCACAAACAACAGTCGTTATATGCGAAGGCCTCTTCTTTGCTTGGTGGATGTGTGGAATCTATTCAGGATTGTTCCGCCAAGAACTCCAGAAGAAATATCATCTCAAGGTAAATAAAAAAACCCCAACATCTCAAGGTAAAATGTCATTCTCGTATATCACAGATATGATCTTTCTGATTGTTCATTGTGATTTCTTTTGCAGAATGCGCCGTGTGATCATTGCATGGTTCACTGTTGCTTGCATTGGTGTGCTTTGTGTCAAGAACACAGAGAGATGAAGAATCATCTTTCTGATGCTGAAGCTTCATCATCAACTACTATGGATCCTCCTCCAGTTCAAGCAATGAACACCGAGGAGAAAAAAGACGCTGCT